ATGAGAATCTAGAACTAAGTTCCTTCATAAAATGGGCCCCATTGAAAAGTTCTAATTTGCAACTTCTGGCATAATTATAGATTGATCCCTCCATCCTCAACCTCCCCAATATTTTCTCGAGTATTTGGTTTTCAAATACTTTTAAAAACCTTATAAAATTAATCTAACAAGATTATAAAATCTACCCAAATTACCATGGGTGATGAAATTTTGAAGAGTAAAACAAGTATAGTGTATTCACCGTTTTGGAAATATTCGGATGCGGGAATGAGCAATATGTTAAACAGTTTAATTTAGGTACATGGTGCTATTGGTGTTGTTTATTGACAAGAATGAAATTTTTGTCCTAATGAAAAAAACCTCTAATTTGGAATTGCTTGCATGTCACGATAACAGATTAAATTAGGTGTTTGTTTCTCAAGTGACAAGACTTTAAAGCAAGTGGAAAGAACAGTATGCAGAAGATTTATATGCATTACTGAAAGAGTTGGCATAAAAAATTGCAATTAAGGAAGAGTAATGCATTTATTTACAGCAGAACACATGGGCATATACATGTGGCTTCATATTACATTGAAATCAACTCACATTTACCTATAACAGGTCTGGACGATTTCCAAATATGGAAGTCAAGAAATAACCGTGAATTGCTATAAATACACAGGATAAACAAGGTGCTAATCCTTCTGTCCAATCAGATAACGGCATTTAGACAAACCCATCAGAAAATAAACAAAACACGTGGTTTTAAACTTTTCAGCTCAAAAGATTTTTTTAAAACAAACTTTTTGTAAACTTTATGCATATTTAGGAATGAAACAGTAAAAATGACAATTCTACCGTGAACAAACACGACTTGAAAGGTTAGAATAAATTCTATGTGGGATTAAAAATCTGTCAATACGAGGTAGCTATCCCAAAAGTCTAACGGCAGATTTTAATTTTTAGAGCCTGGTATGAATATGTTTTCGGATGAGAATATTTTTAATATTTTAATTATTTCCTGAGTGTTTATTACAAAATCGTCCAGTTACTGGTTTGCATGGTAAGTTCTGGTGAAAAAGCATTAATCTACATTAACTTTTCTCGACGTTTTACAGGTTTCCTTACGATGTCCATTTAAAGTGTTTATAACATTGTATTCAGCGCTCATAAAACCCGTGATATTTTATAACTACATGTAGTCTATACAATGAACACGTGTATGCAACAAACCTATACCCATGAAAACTACGCGATATCGATGAAAATCGGACAGCTAAGCAAAATTATTGTTACCGACAAAGAGTATCCTATGCAAATATTATAATCATAATTGATAATAACTTGACGTTCTGAACTATTCCTCCCCAAACAATCGCATTTTTTTGAAATGCATTTATTTAATGGTTTTTTTTTATTTTCAAGATGAAAATGTCAAGTTTGTTCGCGGTAAATATGTGGGGAATACCTTATTCTTCCAAACTTGTCATCTTACTTCTAAACATATTTTGTCAAAAAAATCTTTTTTGAAGAAAAAACAAAAGCAAGTGTTCACTTTTTGTTCCTTTGAAAAATTTTTTGGGGTGTGTAAAAATACTGCTGTCTGATTGGACAGACAAATATTTACGTGTATATGATGTATATTTATGGCAACTTTCAGTTATCGTTCTTGACTTCCATATTTGGAAATCGTCCAGACCTGTATAAAAACAAACTAGAGGTACTGTGAGCGATGAGCTCACTAAATGATACCCCCGCCTCCATATAGTTATAATGGCAAAGTCCATGTTTTGCTGTGGCCGTGAAACCCAAAATATGTGTCGGATCAAAACGTAAACAACTTGACCGTTTTATCAATTTCTAAAGAAATGGGGTGCACTAAATATGGCAATATGTAATAAAGATTCATTGTGAAAGTTTCATCAAGCTATTGAAAATTTCATTCAGTGGTATGAGAGGAGTTGCGGAATATAGATGACTATTTCAACTATAATAATAATACAATTAACACACCCTTTATAAGAAAAAATGGTTCCGACTTTGTCTTTGAAAACATTGTCAAAAGATTAACACTAAATTAAAACAAGAGGCCCATGGGCCTTATAGGTCACCTGAGCATTATGCAACAACTTTCCAGTGATTGAATCTGATTCATGTTTTATGGCATTCACGGACCATCATTAACGATTATTTGGTTATATACCCTCCCGCTTTTCAAGCGGGGGGTATCCACACATTGCACAATACACTTTTCTACCAAGGAGCAGTAACTTCATGATTTTCATTATATTCAAACCTAATGTGATACTAGTACTTGTTAGACCAAATTAAATACCCTATTGAGCTATCCATCAAGCTATTGAAAACTTTACCTATATCTAACACCAGAACCCCTGACCCTAGGGCCATAAAATTCACAATTTTGGTAGAGGCACTCGTAATTCGCAGGGTCAAATACATGAACATCAAATGTTTATTCAAAAGTACGGATTAGACACGAAGTGGTGACAAAGAAAGAATATAGATGACTGTTTCAACTATAATAATAATACAATTAACACACCCTTTATAAGAAAAAATGGTTCCGACTTTGTCTTTGAAAACATTGTCAAAAGATTAACACTAAATTAAAATAACACGTATACCGTAATATTTTGAAAGAATTCATTGTGGTAAAAAAAAATAACTTTCAAAGTACATTTTCTTTGCAATCTTTAAAACAACCAACTTAAATCAAAAACTTGTTTACAACACGATTCACCAACTACGGAATAAAATGTTTGTGGTATGTTATGAAATAATTCGGATTTTTTAATAACATCTGATACTGACGTTATCTTAGTATCGGTTTTATAACAACAGACATCAAAGAGGGAAAATGACAACTCTAGATTGCAGCTTATGATGTGAAATCGGTCGGTTAATTCTAGTGGAATTAAAGGCTTTTTTCTATAATAAACAACTTTACTATCCTTAAACTGTTAAGACGAAGAAAAAATTGAACATTACCAAAATAGTTTCATTTTTATGTACTTTAAAAACTAATACTCATATTTTAGACTCCGAACGAAAGGACTGCAACATACATGTACTGGTTATGACTAAAACCAGAAGTCTCTGTCGAGACTGAAGCTCTACTAGTTTTTACTTATAGCAAAGGAAGAGAAAAGTAGCAGTTATTTGAAACTTTGCAATCAGATAATAAACTTGATTAATTGTTGTGAGGACTTGTGTGCAAAGTTATATTATAAAACAATTATAAGCCATAATTTTACAGAAATTTCTAACTTTAGTAACCAAGGCAATAACACAATCAAAAAATTAACAAAATCTTAGTGTAGTCTACTTCTGTGCAAAATTATATTGAAATCAGACCAAAACTGTAGGAGGGGTAGTATTTTGAATGTATTTCAAAGAAAGTTCTATGTTAATAAGTAAACATGGCAACATCGTTCATAAAAATCGAAAACCGATATATTGAAATCAGACCAAAAACTGTAGCAGGAGTAGCATTTTGAAACAATTTCACAGAAATTTCTATTTTTAGTAACCACGGCAACACCGTTCATCAAAATCAAAACCGATATATAGAGTTGTGTAACTTAGTGTAATCTACTTGTGTGCCAAGTTATATTGAAATCAGACCAAAACTGTAGGAGGAGTAACATTCTGAAACAATTTCACAGAAATTTCAAAAACTATAACAAAAAAATCAAAACCGATATATATGTAACTTATTGAGCCAAGTTAGTGAAATTTAAAGGGATTTCACAGAAATTTGTATTTACTAACCACGGCAACAACGTTCATCGAAAGCAGTATCTTAGTGTTTTTCTTTTGTGCCAAGTTATATTGAAATCAGACCAAAACACTAGCATTTTGAAAAATTGTTTATCATTACTATCGCATAAGCTCTTCTGGTCAATTAATCTGATTAAATGGACTAATAATGATGCGTACTAATAATTTATTCTAAAAACTTGTCATTACGTGGATCTTTACATGAAATTACAGTTGTGATTATATTTTTTCGGATTCCTAGAAAATAATGGATATGCACGTGCCACAGAGACGAGGGCGAGATGCAAAAAAAAAATAAACCAGAAGTCTCTGACGAGACTGTAGTTCTACTGGTTTGTATTTTTAACAGAGGAAATTAGCATTTAAAAAGAAAAATAGAATAGTGTTCTTTGATTTCGTTGCTTAGTAGCAATATTTATTGCAATCAGATTAACATTGTTGGAGGAGTAATCTATCGAAACAATTAAACCAAATTTGACACTTTCAGTAACCATGGCAACACAATTTAACAAAATCACGCACAATTTAAAATTGTGTATCTTAGTGCCGTCTACTTATGTGCCAAATAATTATGAAATCAGACAAAAACTGTTAAAGGAGTATTGTTTTAGAAGAATTTCACAGAAATTCCTATTTTTTGTACCATTGCATCACCATTCATCAGAATCAAAAACTATAAAAAAAAAATCAGACCCAAAATGTAGGAGAAGTAGTGATTTAAAGGGATTTCACAGAAAGTTCTGTATTTACTAACCATAGGAACAGCGTTCATCAAAATAGAAAACAGATGCACTAGATTGTGTATCTTCGCGTAGCCTACTTGTGTGCAAAATTACATTGAAATCGGACCAGAACTGTGAGAAGAGTAGCGTTTTAAAGAAATTTCACAGAAATACCTATTAATAGAATCATGGAAACACCGTCAATCAGAATCAATAATCATTGCACTTAATTATGTATTTTAGTCTACTTGTGTTTTGAGATATATGGAAATCGGACCAGAACTTAAAAGGAGTAGCGAAAATTTGTTGACGGACATCCGTAAGACTGTGATTTATGTATATATCTGAGTTGCTATGCTACTCAAAAAAATCTAGAAAATAATCACTATTAAATACTATAATTTACCATTGTATCTAAGGAAATCTTACATTGTAAATACTCACATCCGTAAGATTGTGATTAATATATGTACCAATAATTCTTTGAAGGACAGAATGTGTTAAAATTTTAGTTTAACTAAGTTCTTCATCCTGAACAGCTTTTAGACATATCCAAAGCTAGTTTGTCTTTTTACTGCACTAAAGTAATACTTTTCTCATTTGCACAGCTAATAACAAGAAAATAAGAAAAAATATGTAACTTTTCCCCACTAAAACGTTTTTTTTTTAAATCATTGGTTTTTATTATCACATCAGGTGAAGGCAGCAGAGGATTAACTCCTTACAAGTAAATACAGATGACCTGTGTGATAAAGGCTTATTTCTCCATAAAAACAAATATCATTAGAAGTATGTGATGATGTATGATTCATCTGATCTTATTACACAAATATTTTATCTCTTCTACATGAAAAATACCTTCCACATGAAAACAACAGCTGATCAAACTCATTATGTAGCACTTCTGATCAGGTACAAAGCTGGTAAATATATTTTTATTATTCACTATCTATCACACGTGTTGACATCATTATTTCTATCCTTTATTTGTTCATCACAAACATACTCCAAGTTTATGGCAGTTTGTGCATCATTAAAATGGCACCGTGTTTGCTTGCTGATACAACTAATAAACATTTTCATGCACTTTAGTCTGCTAATCAATATGTTTGTATCTTGTGATGAAATATTTGATATGCACTCTTAATCCTTGGGTAGGTCATATTAATATGACACTCGTGCTGTCTAATTATCATAGGATTAAGTCTCAGTGTTTGGTTTCATCACACTTTGAGATTATTCTCCTTCACAGAGCATCATGACAACTATGAATGGTTGTTAACGTTGATATAAATCAAAAGGGTTCAGAGTCCAACAAGTCAATGCTCTGCTCATCTCTGGATCTATTCGTTCATTAACAATCAACAGTTACACACAGTCACCTTAAAATTCACTGCTTATCTGAGCTCAATCAAAGAAGATAATCTCTCTATACCACATCATCTACAACAAGATATCATCTGTACTCATACTGCCTGAACCAGTGAAGGGTCCTCCCTCAACAGCTGAAGAAGGAAACTCCCAATATCTTCATCCTGTCGCAAAAATAGAAAGATAAATCAATAGGAAAATGGCTGTTTTCAAAACAATGTTGTGATATCATTAAATTCAGTAAAATTAAAGTCATTAGAGTACATATATAAGGGGAGAATGTATAGCCCCACCTGGTGAGACCAGGACACAAGGACAGACTTTGTCTCGTCTTCGTCACCAGACACCTGGATCAGGACGGATTCGGATATAGATATAGAGCCATCCGAGGAATAATGGATGGAAAAATCCTTCAGCTTTCTACAACACAGGGAAAACATCATAAGAAAACATCATTTAGATTTGATATAGAGCCATCAGAGGAGTAATGGATGGAAAAATCATTCAGCTTTCTACAACACAGGGAAAATATCATTAGATATCATACAGGACGGATTCAGATATAGATATAGAGCAATCCTAGGAGTAATGGATGGAGAAATCCTGAAGCTTTCTACAACACACGGAAAATATCATATGAATTGTACAGCATTCCTTGCTGTAGACTGGTTTTTTTATCTATCCCTAATTAGCATTAAATCCCTAATTAGCATTATTTTTGTGAATAACAAGGTATGGATGACTCTTAATACCAAGTCAAAAATAAAGAGAATGCAAAGATAACTTTATGCATTTATAAATAGTGAAATAAGAGATTATAATATTTTTAGAATGAGTCAGTAAAAAATTTTGTTTTAAAATTTCTTCAAAGTTTTTTTTTTGAAAGCACAAACTTCATTTCAAAAATATCAAGTAAATTTTGATGGAAGTGCATTTTTACTGCATATAGTATGTGTAATTTTTAAGTTATAGTTTACTAATTACTTTAAAAATGGTGCAATCTAATGTGATGAACCTTTTTATCTTTTTGATTTTTATGTATGTGGTAACAACAGTAATTCTACCTCTTGACTAGCTGGTAGATTTTCTCTGCGGCCTTGTTAGCGGGTCCGTCTTCCTCTATGGAGATGGTGGAGGTAAACCTCAGGTGGTGCTCCTCCACCCCCATCTCCTTCAGGGCCTGACTCGGGTCAATGATCTGCAGCCTCTAATAGCACAAAATGACACACACATTAAAATCCACCACTCAGTTATAACAAAGTCACTAGGACCTATGAAATTACTTCGCTATATCAGTTATTTGTTATATCCCTATAAGTAATTCGTTAAATTTATATAGCTGTGGATCCAAGATAACTTCGTGAATTTGCAATACCCTTGTTCATACTACATGAGTCATACTGTAATTGAATGAATTTGTACAACTTTTTAAACATTATTGTGATAAGAATGCAATCATATAGAAATTAAGAGATGCAGTGAGAAATTATATTAGACAGTGGAGGAATAGCATACAAAGTCTATACGGAATTCTGTTCTTTTTAGCACAGGTAAAATTGTCATAAAGCTGTTTCTCTTATTGCTTACATTTCCCCTCATGACTAAGGCTCCATGTAAAACTCTGGGTCTTTTAGCATCTGGGGGAAGCAGTCCTAGAAAATAAACAAATAAGCATTTGAAAAAAATAATTATCTGCCAAAAAAAAAGGGGGATATAATACATGAATATGTATATAGGACTATGAAATTAACAATAACATGTTCAGAGTATGTATATATCGAACACTCAGCTGTAAATATCAGCTGTTAACAAAATCTATTTCATTAACTTGCTCTTGTCTCAATACCATGAATCAGATTTAAATGTATTTGCCCTTAAAAAATACCTGTTTTTGATGCTTCCCTCTTTAATAAAGAGAGTGGAATGTCCACATGAATATTATGCATTGTTTCTATGGTGACAGTCTCCCCATTAGCTGGTTTGAAGCAATCAATACCTAAATAATCAACATCATATTCTAATAATCTTTTTTATTAACCTTGTTCAAGTAAAATTAAAATTTTTTTTCATTTAAGATATTCAGAGTCAAGATACAGGGAAAAAGTACATAAAGCTGTACCGAATTCCTGCTGGATTTTGTTTTTTAAGAAGTCCATCTTGGCAGCCTCTCCATGGACAAGCATGACATTTCTGGGCTCACACTGGGAAATGAGCTGCATGATTCCCTTGGCATCAGCGTGAGCACTGAAGGACATATACTGTACAGACAGCTTCACATCCAACTGTAGATACATGTATACCAAAATTACCGTCAATGTAAGGAGTAAAATAAAACGAAGTGTTGCTCAACTAATTACATGTACCATGTCTGTGGAACTGGGAATGCTCCCTCTCCACACACATCCCCAGTAATTTTGTTTATACAGTGTATGTTGTATGTATATACATGTACTATTTTTTATTTTTATGAATTTGTCCCCAAAATAATCATCTGAAACCATTAGTTTTGTGCTTGCCCCCTCCCTTCCTACATTGAAAAATGCTCCCTAGCCTGATGTTGCCATATTTTTCTTACCAAAAATGTTAATGTAATCCTAAACCCAAACAGTTATTTATTCAAATTAGCACACTATTTTTTTTTTTTGCAAATTGGAAAAAGGTTGTGAACTAATTTGAATTATATTCTTTTTAAATTCAATTCTCATGATTTTTTTTTATGAACTTAATATGAATAAATTTTCATATGTAAACCATTTTTTGATAAAAAAAACAAAACATGTAGCTACCGTAAATCTGGAAATTTTTACGTCGATTTTATTTTGCGAATTCGGGTCAAAATGCTGTTGATGAATTTTTACGTTTCAAAATTTGGCAAATGACCACTGCTTTGTTTACATTTTCTTATTGGTAATTTATTTCTATAAAAAATATTTTTTCAATGACTAAAAATTTTTACAGCAAAAATTTTCAGATTTACGGTATAAAAAATATTGTTTTAAATGACTTTAATTTCAGTTTACTTACATATATTTCTATTTTCTCTATTTATATATTCTTCTTGTGTTAGTCCCTAGGATTTAACTTAGAGGTGTACTCATCCTTGTTTGTTTCTGATGTGATATTGTACTCACCATTTGTTTGTTCTCCAGCTCTAATTTACGAGCTCCATTGAGAATTTTATGACCAACAGTTCCAGCTACACAATATCCAGGCATTATTACCTAGTAAGAAAAACAAATTAGGCTTTGTAAATCTGCAGCAGAATCAAAATTTTCTTTGAAATAATATTTATCAAATGGTTACTTCAATCCAAATTCATTATTAACCTATAAATTTTTTAACCAATCATTTCAAAGAACAAAGAAAGGGATTTGCAAATGCCAAGGTTGTTGAAATATTCTATCTGGACACATTCATAACACAAAATTGGGATTTAAGCACATATTATACACATTATAATATTTTTTCACAAAAAAATCTCTGTATGCATAGATTTTTTCAATAGATTTGGTTGACAGATGCTATGAATGGACTTTTCTGTGTAACATTAACATGTACATCATTGTACAGTAAATAAAATTAGCAGAGGTGTGAACATACTGCTCATGATTATAATTTCTAACCCAGAATTCTGCCAAACTTTGATCAAAATATTAATCATTAAAACAATTAAAACTTGCATACCATGTTGACATCATGAGGTGCCCATTTCTTGAAGATCTGAAGAGACAGACCCGCATGTAACATTCCTGGTGTGGCAAACACCACCATAGGACCAGGATTATCAATATAGGCTCTGTCAAAGGGCTAATAAAGGCACAAACACATATTAGTGTTATACTGGCTAGTCCTGGACTTAAATCAAACTTAAATTGTAATTTACAATTAAAGATCCATAGAATAAATTCCTTTGTTTACCTTGATGTGCTTAAACTCAAACATATTCCGTTGAACAAAAGTTTTCTTAATTTTCTGACTTGTCCATGTAATAAACATCTTGTAGTAGTGGTTGGCCTATAAAACAGGTAACAAAAGGTTTTAAAGATAGAAAGTAGCAAACAATTCATATATGTCTAGCACATTGATCATATTACAGAACACCAATCAAAAGTGGTACCAACTTTTTCTGAGACCTAGTGAGATGTGGTACCCACCTTTTCTGTGAGATCTAGTGAGATGTGGTACCCACCTTTTCTGTGAGACCTAGTGAGATGTGGTACCCATCTATTTTGTGAGATCTAATATGTGGTATCCACCTTTTCTGTGAGACCTAGAGAGATGTGATACCCACCTTTTCTGTGAGACTTAGTGAGATGTGGTACTCACCTTTTCTGTGAGACCTAGTGAGATGTGGTACCCAATTTTATTATGAGACCTAGTGAGATGTGGTACCAACCTTTTCTGTGAGGCCTAGTGAGAAGTAAATGGGAACTTTTATGTTCATTCTTTCCCAGTAACTCTCTAGTAAAATACACAGTTCTTGTGCTCTGCCAAGGGCAAACACTGGTATCAGGACCTAAAGTTATGGTTAAAAAATTAATGGTAAATATTGAGTTCTACTGTTGCTGTTTAAAAAAAGCATCAGATTTGCAAGATTTATTTGATAGAATTTCTTTTTGTTACCTTTCCACCTTTTTCCACACAGTCATGAACTTTTTTCAGGAAATCTCTTTCTCTGCAGCGCTTAGAATCTCGTATTGTTGTAGCGTAAGTTGATTCAGTAATGAGTAGGTCAGGGCGGCATTTGTCAATCCAGGCTGCCCCCAAATGCCTGTCTGGAGTCATATTATAGTCCCCCTATAAATAAAATTCTCTTTTTATACTTCTGAACATTGCAAAAGCATCACATGAATAATAGGAGATAACTCTTTGTCATTTATCCTGAGCACTAAGCAAATAAAATTGTTCAACACATTAGTAAATTTAGAATTTCCAAGGGTTAAAAAATCCAATCCAAATGAAATTTTTTTGATAGAAACAATGTGCCATATTTCTTATCTAAAACTCACTGTATACACAACAGACTGTTGTCCGACTTTAATATGAAACATTGCTGCACCAAGGACATGGCCTGCATAGTAAGCCTTGATTTCCAGCTCCTCATCAACCTGTCAACACCAAAAGGGACAAGATTTATATTGTATTTATATATTTTTGTGCTAAATGCTTTGTCAATATAAATCCATAATAATGATGAGGAGGTGAAAAGATTAATGATTTTTAAATAATATGCCACAAATGTTGAACCTTGTACTGTACAAGTGTCAAATCAGCAACCAAAATCTGAATTTTTACTCACAATGAACAGTAAGTTAATTCTTACATTTATCTATATCATTTAAATATTAATAAATTAAAGAGGCTTAATTTTTCTAAGAAGTGATATTTTGACAATAATTACCCACCTTTATTCAATTTCTAAATTCTTCAATGTTATGACACAGTAAAATTTCTAATTCAACAACACAATGCTGAAATAAGTCCTAAATATGACATGTAAAATTTACATAAATTTAACAGAATTCATTAAACTTTCATTGGGTTATATATCCAAACCTGTTTAGTTTCATGCAGATTAACAGCTATAACTTTTTTCATGCAGTTTTTAATCATTTCTGAGGTAAAGAAATTTTCTTCTCCTTTTCGTTCGACTGTGATTTTTCTGTAGTCTTCCTACAAATATTTAAAAATTTAGTTAAAAAAAATTCCTTCTACACTTTATGAAGCCATTTTTAAAATTTATTGTGTTTGGTCATTTTCATTTAATATTTGCTAATACATGTTACGATATACAATGATTTGTCTAAAAAATTATGAAAGATATCAATCGTACTAGAAGTATAGGACAGATGGCCTTGGTTGGATGAGTCATGTATATAGGGCCATCATATCCGACCATCTCAGACATATACGGCAAGGCTCCACAGTGGTCAAGATGAAAATGGCTAAAACAAAACAAATTCTTCTCAAGTTAAAATAGAAGTAGGTGAGGAGCAAAAGTCTGAATAAAATTGATTCTCTAGTGAAGCAATTTAAGTGAAAGGATCAAATGATGTGATACTCAGACTAGGAACAGGTACATATATATTGGAGGAAATACACCAAACACTTTAAACAAGAGGCCCAGGGGCCACAGCGCTCACCTGAGCACATCAGCCAGGAAAAAGCACAAATCAGATCAGAACCGAGTTTACTGAGGGGGGGGGGGGGGGGGCTTGAATTATAACCCCCCAGAGGGTCATGATTTGAACAAACTAGAATCTACACTACCTGAGGATGATTCCATATAAATATCACTAATCATGGCTTTGAAGTACTTGGAAAAGAAGATTTTAAAAGGTTTCCCTATGTATTCCTATGTAAAACTTTGGTCGGCCATTTTGGCCCCATCCTAGCCCCGGGGGTCATGATTTGAACAAACTTGAATCTACACTACTTGAGGATGATTCCACATGAGTTTCATCTTTCCTGGCATAGTGGTTCTTGAGAAGAAGATTTTTAAAGATTTTTCCTATATATTCCTATGTAAAACTTTGGTCGGCCATTTTGGCCCCACCCTAGCCCCTGGGGTCATGATTTGAACAAACTTGAATCTACACTACCTGAGGATGATTTCACATGAGTTCATCTTTCCTGGCCCAGTGGTTCTTGAGAAGAAGATTTTTAAAGATTTTTCCTATATATTCCTATGTTAAACTTTGGTCGTCCATTTTGGCCCCATCCTAGCCCCGGGGGGTCACGATTTGAACAAACTTGAATCTACACTACCTGAGGATGATTCCACATGAGTTTCATCTTTCCTGGCCCAGTGGTTCTTGAGAAGAAGATTTTTAAAGATTTTTCCTATATATTCCTATGTAAAACTTTGGTCGACCATTTTGGCCCCACCTTAGCCCAGGGGTCATGATTTGAACAAACTTGAATCTACACTACCTGAGGATGATTCCACATGAGTTTCATCTTTCCTGGCCCAGTGGTTCTTGAGAAGAAGATTTTTTAACAATGCCATTAATTTTTCTCTAATTCATAATTATCTCCCCTTGGAAAAGGGCTTGGCCCTTCATTTGAACAAACTTGAATCCCCTTTACCCAAGGATACTTTGTAGCAAGTTTGGTTGAAATTGGCCCAGTGGTTCTTGAGAAGAAGATGAAAATGTGAAAAGTTTACAACGACAACTACAACGACGACAACGACAACAACGACAGACAACGGACAAATTTTGATCAGAAAAGCTCACTTGAGCCTTCGGCTCAGGTGAGCTAAAAAAAGATCACTAGCAACAAGGTCCATAGCTTTGATATTTAAATGGGGCCCTTATAAATACATTTTTAACAAGAGGCCCACGGGCCTTATAGGTCACCTGAGTATCATGTAACAACTTTCCAGCAATTGTATTTGGTTCGTGTTTTAATCCAAAAGCCATGAAATTCACAAATTTTGAAGGAGGCACCATTGCTTATCAAAAGGCAGATTTCAAAGCATTAATTTATTTTTAGTCATAGTACCCCCCCTGGTACCCCTGACCCAGCGGCCCTGAAATTATCTATTTTGAAAGAGGCCCCTTTCTTCATTATAAGGCCAGCATTTTTTTTTATGTTTAGGTTTACTGGTAGTTATGAACATGAGAATAAAAAAGTCCCGAAGGAGAAGGAAATAAAAAAAAAATTTTGATAAATCAATTATTAACATTTGTACATTCTTTTTTCATGCTATTCTAATAGGCTCCTTACCACTGGACACATAATGCTTACAAATAGGAAAGCAGAACATTTAATTGCTTATTTCATCATCTGCCAGTTGGGGCCAGTTATATAAATTTTGTGATGTTGGTCAAAACATATTTTAAAAAATCAATTCTTTAAAAGTCTTTCAATATATCTTCATTTTTTTAATATGTGTTAGGTGAATTGTAGACATTATTCTAAAATTTACTTGATGCCTAAAATTATAATTCCCATCATAAAACAGACAGGGAGTATTGGGGAGTAGGGTGAACATTTGTTTTTCAATTAAGTGTAAAATAATTTTTCTGGCTGATACAAATGATACTACATGCATGTATATATTTGTATATTCTTGCCTTTTAATAGTTGAATTTTTTTTTTATTATTTCTTTAGGTTATTGTTTATTTCTTCCTCAAATGGACTTAACTTCTCCCATAGTTTTATTCATTACATCTGATGCATAAGCAACCCTTTTCTGAAGAATGATGCTTAGACTGTAAGCTATAACAGAGACCTAAACAATGTTGCTGGCAATATGCAATAGCTACCACGGGCAGTTTAAAACCTGGAGGAGGAAAATAATTTACAGACAGATACTTTTGAAACGAATACATAATTATCTCACCAGCATGTCATTGTGCAACAAAGTCGTCAGCATTTTATTTCTCCTTTGAACGGGTGAAACGTTTTGAATGGCACTCGTATCGATGAATTTTACACTAAACCAAGCTATCTTGTCAGATCTAGCTTTATTTACCCGCCGTGTCATCTTAAAACCGGAAGTGAGAGTTCGTAAATTTGAAATCTCGATCCCGACTCAAATTTGACATCGGAAAGAAAAAAATTGTTTTTTTTTCTGAAAATTCAAAACCTTGAGTGGAGGGTTTGTAAAACTGAAAATAAAATAAATCCTGGCCTTAAATATGTAATTAGATCATTAGTATACTAGTGCTAATTGTAACGGGGACCGTTACAGATGTTCCCCAAACGCTCCCCAACTCCCTTCTCGTGCCATATTCCCTGTAAGTTTCATTAAAGAAGGCAAAATCTATGCATTTAAGACGTAAACAACGTTTTCCCGAAAGTATACCAAGTATTTCAAATTTAAGCAGTGCAGGCGTGCGCATGAGATTGCATGAGCGTGATGACGATATCATCTTGTCTACACTTTTTACTCATTGCACGTGCACGCACGTGCATGTTGACCATACCTTCTTGTAGAGTCCATTATGTCTGTCTATGTTCTTAATCCCATCTTGTTTGGTTGAAAAACAAGGGAGTTATAGTCATTTAAAGTTTAAGCCAATCAGATTGCAGCACACATGCATGCGCGTGTTTTCATGACAATTATTATATATCATATTGTAGGACATCTTAAAGTATGCCTATGTTTTAAATTTCAAAGCATTTTGTAAAAAAACAGAAAAGATATTGAGATATTTGTTTCAGCCAATCAGAGCAAAGCACACGTGCACGCACGTGCATGCATGTGAATGGTGACCATACCATCTTGTAGGAGTCCTTTATGTCTATCTATGTTCTAAATCTCATGCTGTTTGGTTGAAAACCAAGGGAGTTATAGTCATTTAAAGTTTCAGCCAATCAGATTGCAGCGCACGTGCATGCGCGTGATTTGATGAAAAATTTTATATATCATATTGTAGTACATCCTAATGCATGTCTATGTTATAAATTTCAAAGCATTTCATCATAAAACAAAAAAGATATTGAGGTTTTTGTTTCAGCCAATCAGAGCAAAGCGCACGTGCATGCGCGTGAGTTCATGCAAATTTGACCATGTCATCTTATCTACACATCTTATATATCTTTATATAATGAGTTTCAAAACATTTTATCAAAAAATATAAAAGTTACAACCATATTAAATATATCGGTCATTTTACTCATTGCACGCGCCCGCACGTGCATGCGAATGCGCGCAAAATGACCTTCGTTCAGCACATCTACACAACATGCCTACTAACCCTAAAAAGGTTTTAACTTAGTTTGGTGAACAGTTTCTGAGAACACTCGCGGACAAAAAAGTACCGGAGAACAAATAAGAAAAAGAATAATAACTAGAAACGATCTCGTTGCTAGCAACGAGAGGTCTTCCGTCTGATTCCGGGAAAAAACGTAAAATCGATCTGAAATAGTAAAAAAAAAAATATTGCACACAAGGGGGATTGAATCCAAGTCGCCAGCATGAAAACCTAACGTGCTAGAAATTACGCTATTGGGACCTCTGCTCTAAATCTTCTTGTATACATGTATATACCTCTGTATAACAGTACTTTTGTCTTAGAATTATGAAAGGTGAATCACTATTCATAATTTCGCGCCAAACGCCACGAGTTAATCCTCGCGCCTTTTCTTTGCAATGTTCTACTTAACAGGTGTGATAGCTTCAATGAAATAAAAAAAACGTTCTTATAGCCTAAAAATTGTATATTTAACACATTTTACAAATTCCATATCGTTTGTAAGCAAGTAACACTAAAGCAGTGAAACGGCTATGAATTTTAACTTTTTAAAATTTCCTGTTTATCCCCAAAGTGAATGAAAAGGTTGAAATGTTTCGCCGTAAAACAAGGCTCGCCTTAAGGTCAAGGAATTGGATACCATTTGTGCTTAAAAATTGAATAAGATATTTGAGACAATAATTTTATATAAATTGCAAATGATGCAACGTGAACGTGTGCATCTTTCTATTAGTTTTATATGGCACAAGTGTGCAAGGGAAAAACAGTGGTTAAGTTCTATACCGGGTACTTACTGTATTCATTGGTATTCTTTCTGGAAAAACTATTACTTATAACTATGATTTAAGATCTGTTTTTCCGTGGTGCAAATCAGAAGTTTTTAAGTATCGAATTTCATTTGCACATATAGTCTTTTTTTTTTACTTTGAGAACCAGCCAAAACTAATCATAGAAGACGTTTAAGAAGGACTTAGTTTGACAAAGAATTGCAACGTAAATACGACGTGACAATCGAAGTATTCATTTACATTTCATTTGTCCTTATGTTACTTTCGTTCAAACAAACGCTCAGCTGCCTCCGTTAACCCTGATTGCGAAATGTCGGAGTTGACAGAGACAGCCGCCATTTTGGACCCGCTTCAGATTTTTAAATGTTAATATCTAAAGTTTGGATGTATCAATATTCAAACAAATTATACAGTATGCAATATGAGAAGGGTTTCTATTAACAATCTAA